TTGCTCCTAGTAGTAAGGCCAGGAGCCCCTAGTAGCGTCCTTGCTACCAGTAGTAAGGCCAGGAGCCCCTAGTAGCGTCCTTGCTCTTCGTGATGCCAAATCCTGTCAAGCCTGTGGTTCCACCATGACGAAAGACCATGCCTGTCATGTGATCAGGCAGATGGCCGTACTACTAACCGCCATGCCAAGGACATTGTGCAGGGCAAACCAATTGCACCTGTGCCATCCAAGCCTGAAGATCCCTGGCAGATCCCAGAATCAAGCCAGAGAATCCGTACGACACCAAGAACTGCTCAAAGCTCCAAATCAAATCCATCAACACGTACCATCCAGGTCGTGACAGGCTGATGGCACGCCAATTTGTGCACACTGCCAGTGCGTCCAAGGCAATCACTTTGCTTTGAGGCGTCAGATTGAGACTGGATGCTGCAGAGCCTTCAACCCCAACAGACCCTTGAAAAGCCAGATACCACAAACTTGGCCTGAACTTATGACATTGGCAAAGAATACAGAGACGGACCTCATCTTGCGCAAGTCAGCCTTTGTCCAAGCTCTCCGCACGGTTTGTGCTCTGTGTGGCAGGCACTGTGCGAAACCAGGTGCTCTCCAGCAGCACCACCTCCAAGACCATGCCGCCTTGATGCAGGAAGCCTCTGCCAAGAGCCTGAACTTGCAGACCCAGGCCACAGCAATGGGACGTCCATGCTATTGTGGCAACCGCATTGTCAAGAAAGGGCATCAATGTGTGGTGCTCAACCAAATTGCAATGCTCCAAGTGATTGCCAATCAAGAAGCATCCCCACCTACAGAAGTGAGCACTTCTGCCTGTCCTGCCGCGATTCCCCTTAGCCAGGACACCAAGCTGATGGATGATGTACTGGACACCTACTGGGCTGATCCTGTTGTGAGTTCGAGCCTCGATACTCAATGCATCCTCTGCAAGATTGAACTTCCTCTCGCTGAAGTTGAAATGCATCTCATGACCAGTCATGCCACATTGGCAGCCAGTGCAATTGAGCTTTACACCAGCTGCGCTAGTCCACGTCTTGACTGCTGCCGCTACTGCTTAGATTCTGATGGTGTGGTGGAACACTGTCCTGCAGCCCTTCAGTTAGCCTTCCATCGTGCCCAATTGCAACCAAAGGCACCTCCTACTGAGAGGACCGATGGCCACATTCGAGATCCACGAGGACGACATGATGGGTCAAATGCAGGACGCACTTGGGGGACTATTCAACACTACTTCCAGGCCCAGTCACAAAAGGGGACGACCCGACGAAGCCTCGCATCGCAGGAGAACATGGAAGCTTTGGACAGGATTCAAAAGACAGTGAGCCTCCTCACTGCCTTGAGCCTTCGCGAGTCTCAGCTCCAAGCCCAAGCATCCACGGATCAATTGCTGCTCTTCTTTCAGACGAACCAGCAGGGTATCCTCCCCATGCTGATGACTCACACTGCCGCCTGGAAGAAGGACATGGAGATGAACAAGGCCAAAAAAAACCCCTCAAAGTATTCCAGCTGGTCTGTCAGACAGTCCTGGACCGTATGCTCACCCTAGCAAAGGTCTCCCAGAACAGTCAGGAATGGGAACAGGCAGTCAAGAGCCAAGTCATTACACCGGAGGGCAAGTGGCCCTTTCTTCAATGCTGTAATGTCTCAAGCCGACCTCGAGACCAGCCATCGACATGATCAAAATGCAGAAGCACCTGGAAAACATGGTGGAAGCTGCCCAAGCGGAGCAACACATCCTGAGATTCAAAGCACTGAAGAACACCTACGAGATCAAGCACCAGCAGATCTGCCCCTTCCTGCTGCACCTGGTAGCGTTCTTGCTCCTAGTCTTGCTGCTAGTAGCGAGGCCAGGAGCCCCCATTGCTCCTAGTAGTAAGGGCAGGGCGCCTAGTAGCATCCTTGCTCCTTGTAGTAAGGCCAGGAGCCCCTAGTAGCGTCCTTGCTCCCAGTAGTAAGGCCAAAGCCGTAGTAGCGTCCTTGCTCCTAGTAGTAAGGCCAGGAGCCCCTACTAGCGTCCTTGCTCCTTTTAGTAAGGCCAGGAGCCCCTAGTAGCGTCCTTGCTCCTATTAGTAAGGCCAGGAGCCCCTAGCCGCGTCCCAGGAGCCCCTACTAGCGTCTTGCTCCTTTTAGTAAGGCCAGGAGCCCCTACTAGCGTCCTTGCTCCTATTAGTAAGGCAAGGAGGGCCAGGAGCCTCTAGCGTCCTTGCTCCTAGTAGTAAGGCCAGGAGCCCCTATTCTAGTAGCGTCCTTGTTCCTAGTAGTGAGGCTTTGCGTCCTGCTCCTAGTAGTAAGGCCAGGCGCCCCTAGCGTCCTGCTCCTAGTAGTAAGGCCAGGAGCCCCTAGCGTCCTTGTAAGGCCAGGCGGTCCTAGCGTCCTTGCTCCTAGTAGTGAGGCCAGGAGCCCCTAGGAGCTTTCTTGCTTCCAGGAGGAAGGCCAGGAGCGCCTAGTAGTGAGGCCAGGAAAGCCATTTGGGGACCCGGCGAGGCTGCAGAGAAGCAAGGAGCCCCTAGTAGGGTCTTTGCTCCTAGTGGTAAGGCCAGAATCCCCCAGTAGTAAGGCCAGATTTTAGTAGTAGGCCAGGAGCCCCTAGTAGTGTCCTTCCTCCTAGTAGTAAGGCCAGGGGCCCCTAGTAGCGTCCTTGCTCCTAGTAGTAGTAAGGCCAGGAGCCCCTAGTAGCGTCCTTGCTCCTAGTAGTATGGCCGCCTGGGACCCCCTAGTAGCGTCCTTGCTTGTAGTGGTAAGGCCAGGAGCCCCCTAGTAGCGTCCTTGCTCCCTGTAGTAAGGCCAGGAGCCTATAGTAGCGTTCTTGTTACTATTACATTTTGGTGTCCTTCACGCCGTGCACCGGGGGCCTGAGACTTTGGACCCCTGTGCCCCGAAAGCCGGAAGGGCCAGAAGTAACGCATCTGAGGAATGGAACATGCAGAGGCGCAGCAAGAAGCTTGATCACGATTGGGAGCTGTCCGTTTGATCACGGATTCCGCTTTGATGGTACCATGCTAATGCTGTACGTGAATTACGCCTGGTGACTTGTAACCCCCCTCACACACTATTCCTTTTGACCAAGGCTTGGCAACAATCCCGCAGTACCAAGGCTTGTCTTCGTTTCTCATCGAACGCAAACGAACCTTAGGAAGATGATCGAAGAGGTGGAGGAGAAAATCATCCTGGCCGAAGCGGGGCTCTCGGTAAGGGACAGACCAACAAGCGGATCAAAATCGAAGAGCCAAATCCCTTGGAGAAGTGCAAGTAGAGCTCTCCTTTTTTTTGGGCCAAGTGGAAGTTGTAGACTTGTTCCTTGGTTGAATGGTTTTCCATGGGAGCTCTCGCGTGGCTAGCTGGTCCAAAAAGTGAGCTTTTGCTGCAGTCGCCCGGTCTTCACTGTTTCCACGAGGTACTTAAATCTTGGTTTAAGAAATGTTAAACACGCTTAAGATGGTTTAGGTATGTTTATCTAAGTATAACTACGGACCTGACCAGCAGACGGCCGAGGGACTCCCATGAACAGGTTGAGCACTAAAGGGAGTTGATGCCAGACTCAGCTGTGTGTGTGTGAGTGTCCAAGTATTGCTATAACTTGACCAGAGGGGGTTACAGGCATGAATACTGGAATTCGTTAGGTATGATGTATGATCGTCTTGAAATTTACAATTTGTTGTCCTTTCTATCAAAGGGAATTGAAGATTGCTGGAACAGCTTGAAGATTGTGATGGTTTGTTCATACAGAACGAAATCGTTTCCGTTTCCTTTTTTTCTGCACATGTAGATGATAATATCACTCATACAAGCAGATGCATTGATAGCCCCATTGAGGTAGAACAAAGTTGATGTTTGCCAAGAGCTTGCTTGGGGTTGAGCCACTGAACTCAAGAAGTTTTACAGACCACTTTCTGAAGTATCGAACATGTCGATCTGGAAATACCATGCCCACAGGTGCCCAATTAAAGGTGTTTGAAGAACACCTCAAGCTTCAAAGTTCCATCTGAATTTAGTAGTTCAATGTAATTATTTCTGATGAACATCGAGAGAAGGGAGAGTGCAGAGAACTCATGATGTTCACGGTTTTTTCCCTTTGACACAGATGACTCAGATGACTTTCAGAGCAGACGTCTTGCATGGCATCTTATAATATCCCTTCTTCCATGCCCCAGCATGGCCGTGGCCCATGCAAAAAAATGCGCAAAGACTTCAGAGCCAACACGGGTTGTCAGTGGGGGCCTAGCTCCACCTGCAGCAGTGTTTGGCTTTGCGTATCTTTGCGTCCGCCAGTCATGCTTAGGTGGAGCTGGATCGCTTGGACGCGTTGTTGAAGACGGAGGGCCCGCTCAACGAGGTGTTCCTAGGTTAAAAGACTTCTTGAGCCGAACTGAGTGGGGGCTTTCTGATTAGTAGCACCAAAGACGTTAATGAAAAAGAATCAAAAGACCAAAGGTAAATTGGAACCTGGTCGACATGGAGATTTCAGCCTATATTTTCACATATGTTCACCTGGTGGATCTTTGGTTCGCTTTTGGAATCTAAAAGGATTGGTGATGGTGGAATCGGCTCCTTCACATCCAAGGGATGGAGCCCGGGGCCTGTTGAGGCACAAAGAACAACACTGACTGTCACACATGTAGACACAGAGGTCAACGCAATACCCCAATTGCCCTCAAGGGTGTCAAGGGTTTCGAGGGAGAAGAATGACTCGGGTGAGCCTCGATTGGAATAGATTGCACAGCCAAAGATAGGGTATTCTGGGGTCTTCTACATAATGGAGCATTGGCATTGGGTTTCGAGGAAGACTGAGCTATCTCCTATGGGTGCACTCTCAAGTGCCCAGGTTGTTCGCGGAGATGCATGCCGCGTTGAAGTCTAGCGCCGACGCACAGGAGGCGTGGGAACCCGCTTAAGTGAACATGACCAAAAATTGCTCTTTGCACGGGCAGGTAATGCCTGCTCATGAGATCACTGTGCCTATGTCAACATGCGAGTTGTGGAAAGTTGAGTAAGCTCATGGTGACATCGGAGTGTGCGTAAGCAGTGCTTAAGCAGGATTACGTTGTAGGTGTGTGTGTGTGTGTTTTTGTTAATTGAGTCTTTCAACTGTCGTTGAAAATACTTGCTGTCACAAAGCAGCGACCCATGGTAAATCCTAGTGTTCTTAGCTTGTTTCTATATTGTTTTTCTCCGTTGTCCAGAGGCTTTGCAGCAATGTGGAGTTTTGGGTTCACAATGATGTTATTGTTTTTTTTCCTGAAGTATGATGTTTTTTAGGTTACGAAAGCCAGCCTTCGTAGAAGGCGCTAGCGGAGTTGTGTTTGGCGAACGAAGTGAGTAGTTAGGGGGTCTGTGGGCGTAGAAGGCGCTAGCGGAGTTGTGTTTGGCGAACGAAGTGAGTAGTTAGGGGGTCTGGGGGGGGTGGCCCGGGAAAGGTACACGTAAACTCGGCACATGCTGGGGGAGGAGGGTGCGTCGAGGGGTGGTGATGCAAGAAATGCAATCTGCATCATTTGCATCATCTAAATGGAAAGGTGTAGTTGGCACCTTGCCAGGTATAGAGACCCAGGGTAGCTATAGTGCAGCTACCAGGTATAGT